TTGTTGATAAATAATTACCTAAACACATTTTAAATTTGTATTAATGTATGTTAAAAATTATTCTCATGGTACATGGACATCATTTCTAATTTTCCAACAGGTAACTTGTTTAAATTTCATATACCACTTAATCAAAGGACAAACCCCCTATAAACTAAAATTTTATTTTCTTGAGAAACATGAACAACTAAGGTCTCAAGCTTCTTTAACCTTCATACTATGTCACTGAATGATGGTAATATGCATTGAAACAAAAATTTCATTTTTTCTTATTTTTCCCGAAATATGTGGGCTAACCCCTACGAAAAAATTGAGTTTTTCGAAAAATGCCATATCCAGAAGTTTAGGCTCTTCATTGTTTATAAATAATTACCTAAAAACATTCTAAATTTGCATTAATGTATGTTAAAAATTATTCTCATGGTACATGGACATCATTTCTAATTTTCCAACAGGTAACTTGTTTAAATTTCATATACCACTTAATCAAAGGACATATCCCCTATAAACTAAAATTTTATTTTCTTGAAAAACATGAACAACTAAGGTCTCAAACTTCTTTAACCTTCATACTATGTCACTGAATGATATAAATATGCATTAAAACAAAAGTTTCATATTTTCTAATTTTTCCTGAAATCTGTGGGCTAACCCTACGAAAAATAGAGTTTTTGGTAAATGCTATATTCAGAAGTTTAGGCTTTTCATTGTTGATAAATAATTACCTAAACACATTTTAAATTTGTATTAATGTATGTTAAAAATTATTCTCATGGTACATGGACATCATTTCTCATCATTTTGATAAAAAATTTTGTTTTAATGATGCAAAAATTTCATTAAACTCGATTTTTTCGTAGGGGTTAGCCCACATATTTCAGGAAAATTAGAAATATGAAATTTTTGTTTTAATGCATATTTGCATCATTCAGTGATATAATATGAAGGTGAAAGAGGTTTGAGAACTTAGTTGTTTATGTTTCTCAAGAAAATAAAATTTTAGTTTATAGGGGGTTTTGACGCCACATATATTGTTAGGCATTAACTAGAGAGCTAAGAAAGATGCTAAGCCCTTGGATGTCACAAAAAAAGGAAAAATCAGCTGCTTCTGATGCCCAAATAAACAACGATTTTGGTCAGCTACTTGTACTGTTTGTGGATTCTATTGACATGTGGCGATACACAATTAATTTCTTTTTTGTTTTAGTTTTTAAATGAGAAAAGAAGTAATTTTAAGCACCTCTTGTGGGGGTTTTGGGTTAATCATGGCCTAAGTTCCTCGGTACGAAGGTGAATCATATCTTGATTTTATATTATGTAACATACTTTAAAGTTTTAAACTTTAATTATTATTTGTTTGTTTTTATGGAGGTTAAAATGTGGTCGGCACTCGGTTGTCTGTGTGAGATTTAGTGAAGGAGGAATATTTTGTCCGTCTTGTCGATGTCGTCATGTTGGAGTCGTGGTTGTCGCAACTGGTTTTAAAAATGGTTGTGTTTATTAAACTTATTTTCATAAAGATTAAGCTCTATTTTTAGTCATCAAAGCAAAATAATATAGATAGCAGTACTATTAATTGCATTTAAATCAACGGCCAAGAAAGTTATAGCATATATATTGCAATTCAGAAATCATGGAACATTACATTTCTATTATCTCTGACGATATAATATATGCATTTTTATAAGAAGGAATATACGCATTTGCCACGATAATCTTATAGACTTGAGGAAGTCCCATGCGTTTACGTTCTTGAACGTGTAAACTTAATTTGCACGCTTCAGCTTGGAAGTACTACACCAACATAAAACATATGAAAGTTTTTCAAATGCTTACTCGATAAAATTAGTTAATTCTATTACCAGACTGTCCATTACACATGGAAAAAGAGTTACCTAACCCCATAGCGTCGGCGGTTTTCATCAACCGCATACGTTTGCACGACTCCACAAACATCCTATACGTTCATAAAACATAACATAATCAGGCCTAGAGAAATTAGTCGCTCTCATAATAAATACTAGTGTATTAATTAATTTGTTTAGAGTTTGATTAACACGAGAACAGTAGTAGATCTATCCACAAGGGTAACTCACATCCACGGGACATCTCCCACTAACATCCAGTCACCGTCCTTATCCTCGTAAGTTGCCATAAACTCTCCTTTCCTCTCGAGCTCCGTCGTCACCATACCTATATATAAACCACCATCGATCAAGGGACAACACTTTAAAATATGTTTACCAAAATTAACACCCCCACTTTAGTTATAATAAGCTCTTCATATTTTACTTACATATTGTTACTACCCCCTGAAACATGTTTTCTAGAGCAGCGAAAAGTTGATCGTAGCAATTGTACATCTGAAGATCAACTTTTCTGAGATAGGCCGCACCATCCACCGCAACTTTCACGTACTTCCTCGCCCTTACCGTCCTCACCGGCGGCCATCCCACCAAGCGGTCGCTAAAACCAGGACACAGACGCATATGGTCAGTGAAACATGCATATATACATATACAGGATAGATAATTAAGTTCGAAAGAACTAAAGTTTTTAATATGCCGTACAAATTGTTGCATGCTATAGAATTGTTCACGTGTCTTTCCCCGAGTTTCAAATCAACGGTCTCGATGAATCTACGCTTCTTTTTGGACTTTTGTTGGCCCTCCGATGGTATTATGGAAGTACCCGGTAGAGCAAGGGTAAGCTCAGTCCCTCGAAGATCGCCGGATTTCCTGACGTATTCCTCCGGCGACATTGTATGGCGTCGTCGTCTATTATTTATAAATATATTTAACAATAAAAGTGGTGAAAGTGATGAGACAAAATGGCACTAACTTTTGGCTTGAGTGTGATGAGTGTTTCTAGCTTTGGATTTTATAAGCGCCAGCTAGAAACCTAGTGAACCTTACCTATAATGACACGTCTCCTGTAACTGGCGGTTTTGATATCTCCACGAAAGCAAGTGAATAAATGGTGATTAGCCTCTGCTTCAAGTGCCACGTGGACCCATTCATTTACCATTTTCTAAAACCAAAAAATCCTTTAGGTTATTTGCACTTAATTAGTAATTACCAACTAAAATGTCTCTGAACCTAAAAGAAACAAAAACGACCTTTAGGTTATATGCACATGATTAGCACCTTAAATGTATTCTGAACCCAAAACAGAAAGTATCTAAAGTGTCTTTGAACCCCCAAAACAGAAAGCACTTAAAGTATTTTTAGTGGGTTTGCATCTGTGCGAAAAAAAAGTGGGTTTGCATCTAAAGTGTCTTTGAACTCAAAGAAAAGGCATAAAAAGTGTCGTTAGTTAGTGGATTGGAATGTGTGCTGATTGATTTCCAGTGATAGACAGCAAATTATTAGCATGATCTATTTAACTTAAGAGAAGACAACACATTATTATGACAAGAATAAAAAAATATCCCAGTTGCAAGAAAACGTTATCATATAAGCGGTTTTTCGTATTTCTTATATGTGACTTTACCTGCATTCATGTTAATTTAGTTTCAGATATCTTACAAGAAAGATGGATAGCTATAATCTATAATGTGCAAATAAATGTTGAAAATAATAATTAATAACAGAGGGAAAAAATACATATATTAGTTAGTGTGTTGTCAATTTTGGTTCCATATATTTATTATTCGAGAGAGATCGCAATGCATGTAGATGTAGTGTTCCATTTGTCTAGGCTTTCTTGTCAGTTTACTTACTCGAATATTTCCAAATAAATGTCTTGAAAAAAAAGTTCCACCAAGATATATCAGTTTTCAATGTTGGTCGACAACATCACAATATAAGCCATTAGTCTAGTACTGATATATACATAAACACACTTGATTATGTAGACTACTTCCTAAATCAACAGAAGGCTCTCGAAAGAACATATCCCTAGTATTAATTGCTCGACAGTAATCCTTGTCTGTATGAGATCACGGTTTTCATCAGTCTCAAGTATTGGTTTCTACTAACTCTAAACTACCAATATAATTAATAACCTAAAACACGAACCATAAGAAAGGAAAACAAAAAAACGTTTTAGACAGAGCGAAAACATTTATGACTGCCGTAGGGTCACGCATAAGTCACGTGATTCTGTTTCTCCGCCGGGAAACATTATTGATTCGCGATGCTTCATGTCACTATTCTTACGAGCTTTTAAGACAAGCCAAATAGTGAGTGGTCTATTGAATATACACGTGACGAACTCACGATTGCAACTCCGTGACCGGTAATTCCGGTCAGCCGTTCTTTTAATTTTTTTTTTATTTATTTAATCGGTTTGAAAAAACGCACATGGAACAAAACAGTCTATAATGACAACAAGAGAGTTCTGCAATTCATGAATTATTTTGTTTTGTTTTAACACTGACTTATTACTTTGTAATCATTCAGAACAATTACACTTGTGGTCACTTTTTACGGACGAGGAGTTATCACTTTATCACAATCTTTCATAATAACGCCAGCCCTCTAGCTATTAAAACATATCTTAGATTCTTAGAAGATAACGAGAGTTGCTAAATGACGAATTTGGTAGCTTAAATAGTAATTACGACTGCTTTATTGGATGAATATTTTACGTTTTAGTACGATCGGATGAGTAGAAATGCGAAACCAGTTTAGAACTCTGCCTCTTAAGTTTTGTTTTCTGCAATGGGCTCGGGAAACATCATCTAGGCTACGTTACATTCTTTTCATGGACTAGTCACTAGACGCATTGCCTTGCTTGATTGCATCTATACATTTAAAGTATATCTTTGGCAAAAAAATACAACTAGTATGACTTAAAATTATAGTGCAGATATGGAGACAACAAAGAAGTTAGAGAGCTGCCATGCCTACATCTACATGTAGACTGTATAGACAAATGACTTAGAAACGATGCGACTTGTCCTCTCTGTGCAAATAAGGTTGGGGAAAACAGCACTACTTCCTTATAGACAGAACTGAGACCTTTCTAATCCCACATGAGAACAGAGTGAGAGATGATCCATCGAGTTTGTGCTGTATATAGTATTCAGATTGAGATTTGATTTTTCAATGCCTATAAACTTTCCACATGAATAAATTACCAAATAATATTAGCTTTTCTTCAGAGAACGTAGATTGCACAACAGAGTATTTATGAAAAAGATGCAAAACCAAACAAAGGAAAAGGCTCATCAAATCAAAAAATTTCCATGGTTTGTCAACAAGCTTAATGCAAAAAAAAAAAAACAAAGGAAAAGGCTCATCAAATCAAAATTTTCCATAGTTTGTCAACAAGCTTAATGTGGAGAAAAGGAAAAAAAAAAGTAACGAAGTTAAGAGGGTACAATATCAAAAAAAAAAAAAAAACTCCAAACATCCTCAAAAAGTGTGGAGAGTGAAACAAAACGAAAAGAAATAAAAGACCTTTTCTTTCTTTGAGCATCAGACTCGAAACCCAGCCTGCCTTATATAGAAAGAACAATTATACACATTTGGCATTGTTATAACTTCAAACATCTTTTTGATCCACACCTCTGCATGTCTGTCTTTTGTATAATTATCTCCCGGGAAGGTTTGCCTCTTACTGATAAACAAAAAAGAAAAAGAGCTTCAGGTTGAGACCGAGAGGCTCTTAAATGCTTCAAGTTGTCCATCGCTCAATTCAGTCTGACCCATTGGATGGTTTGGTGTGTCGCCATTCTCATTGCTCTTCTTGCGAGACGAGTTGTACACTGAATCAGGCATCACAGAGCTGCGCTTGCCTTCAAAGTAAGTTGAATAGGGAAAATACTCTGCGCATCGTGATTTCCATCCTGCATTTGTATCCAAAATCCGGCTTAATACTTTTAAGCCCTAAGGACCTTAATATCATGGAAGCGTGCTCCGTTCATAAGACCAACCAAACGCAATAAATGAAAATGCAGCTTAACGAAGACATCATAGTGAAGATATTTAATGCTTACTGGAGGCAGCTTCTGAGTCAACAAGAACTGTGTCTAGAAGCTTATGAACTGCTATACAGTCTTTGAGTTTCCACTCTCTTGCTAGTCCTAGAACTCCATCTCTACACATGGACAACGATGTTAAACATACGAACAAAACAGAGAGAGCCAGGAACCACAATGTGATATGTTTCAACGAGCATTACGTTTGAACCACTTTATTGGTTGAGTCTTCTATTATTTTGATAGACTCGGTTTTCTTGCTTGGATCTAAAAGGTACAACATTTCTGCGTAGGCAGCTCTGTGCACCAAAGAATCTGCAAAATTGATATGCAGACGTATTTTTTTAGGGCTTATTTGTGAAATGGACGTGTACCATGTAATCAATTTGAGACGTACCTTCGTGTCTAGAAAGAAACTCTTTGTTTGCCTCCACTAGTGATTTATTTTGCAATTGACTACAACGCAAACAAATGGAAAATTTATCACACAATTGATATACAACATCAACAGTATAATTGGATAAAAGTTTGAGTAGTCACCTGATTGATGGGCGCTCAGCCTCTAGGACACTCCAGCGAAGTTTCTCAGCTTCGGTCGTTGGAGCACCTGTCGATCCTGTCTTGAGAAAGAATTTAACCTGCCACCCAAGTCAAAAGCATAAACCAACATGAAAACACGACTAGCTACATAAAACTTGAAGAGAAAACATTATTATTATCCCTTCTCTCCTTCGCATGATTAAGCATTCTTTTCAGAACACACAAGTAGCGAAGATTGCATACCAGGGAACGATGTGAATCAGGGTTCTCCGCGTCCAGTTTAAGCAATTGCTTGACAGCCTGAAAAATGAGAAATAAGACGGCAAAGCCCTTAGGTTACTTAAACAAAGGATATTAAAGAAACATGAGCTTGAATATGGCCACTAGATGAGAAATTAGTTTACCTGGAATGCAAGTAGAAATTTTTGTTTTCTCATATTAACCTCAAAAGAAAGTAGATGAGTCTCCAAAGAATTAGGTGAATGCTTCTGGAGAAGACTCAAGTACTTTGAAGCCTCCGCCATTGGCTCTTCCACCTGCACAGATTAGGTTTCCAGTAAGCCTCTGATAAAGTTAATACTCGTAATAAAGAAATATGGCGAAGACAACGGTACATCTTAAAAATGAAGCAAACAAAAACCTGAATTAACTTTTCGCCATGAGGATCTGGATCTACAGGTTTCACATTTCGTTTGCCAGACTTGGAGACACCACTTGCAGTTGATTCTTCACTCTTACCCTCAGCTTCCTGAAACGAAGGGCACTCTTAAGCCATTTAAGTGTCAATTTACTCGACCAAACATTGAAAATACCTACTTTCTTCGCTCGGGCTTCTGCCTTTTTCTGCTTCTTGATTTTCTTCTTCTGAGCAGGAGCCAGCTTGGACATTTCTTCTTCTTCAGAAGTTGATTTGGGAGAATCATGCAATTTCAGATAGCACCTGTATATCGAGCATGGCATCTATCATGCACCCATATAGAAGGTACTGAAGTTGGATTACATTTGTGCAACTTTAGAGCTTACCTGATAGTTTTGATTGCTGCTTTGTGGAAATATGGGAATGAGTGCAATCGGTCTTGGAACTTAAGCATGTCAACATATGAACGCAAAGTCATTTTTCTTAAGCAGTACGAGTGGAAATCAAATTGATCTTCATGAATGTCAGAATAGTGCTTCTCCACACCCAAAAACTTTTTAAGCGCACGTCCAAGATCACCCTGACGGAAGTAGCTATCTCCAGATGCAAGGTCATACCTTTTTACGAAATGAGATCAAAAGACAGCCATTAGAAATAC